TTGCACCATATCGAGTGCTCCACCTAGATTCTCCTTTCTAAAAAGAGAATAGAGAATAGACCCTACCCCCCCCCCCGGACTTAACGCTTCCCCCAGGAATAGTATAATTTCATATATATATATATATATATATATATATATATATATATATATTCTGCACACTCGTCCATCCTAAATATGAAATCGTACCATCGCAGGCAGGCCGGTTTCCCCCCCTCCCTGAGGTTCCCTCGTAAAAAACACTATGCGGTGACACTTTTTGTTCTAACATCGCACTTTTTCGCGATCCCCTTGCAAACATGTGACGAAGTGCGCACGCGCGCGTCGTCGCGCGCGCATGCCGAAATCCTTCAAAAACCTTCGATTCCGGAGAGATTTCAAAATTGACTTTCCAAAAAACATACAAAAACACATGGTTTCGCAACACTGATTTGCTAAAAAATCTTACGCGCGAGCTCTTGCGAAATCTTAAGAAAACCATAGGTTTTCCAAGAGTTTCACAAAATGCTACCAAACGGGCTTCGCGCGCGCGCATGTCGAAATCTGTCGAACGCCCTTGCGCGTGTGCCGTCGCGAGAATCCTTTGCAAAAAACGGGACGAAGTGCAGACGCGCGCGTCGTCGCGGGCGTATGCGGAAATCCTTCAAAAACATTCGGTTCCGAAAGGATTTCGAAATCGTGCGTCCAAAAAACCCTACAGAAACACAAGGTTTCGCAACACGGGTTTTCAACAAAAGTGTGTGCGCGCGCGCTCTTGCGTCGTCGTCGTCGTCGTCGTCCTCCCTCCTCCCTCGTCGACGTCGCCGTCGTCGTCTTCTGTCTTTCCTCGTCGTCGTCGTCGTCGTCTTGGCGTCGTCGTCGCTTCCGTCGTCGTTGTCGCCGTGGTCGTCCTTCCTCCCTCGTTGTCTTCGTCGGCGTCTCGTCGTTGTCCCTCCTATTTCTTCGCCGTCGTCGTCGTCGTCGTCGTCGTCGTCGTCGTGGTCTTCACTCCTCCCTCGTCGTTATCCTCCTCCCCTGTCGTATTCGTCGTCGTCGGCGTCTCGTCGTCGTCCCTCCTATTTCGTCGCCGTCGTCGTCGTCTTCGTCGTCGTTGTCGTCGTCGTCGTCTTCCCTCTTCCCTCGTCGTTGTCGTCGTCGGCGTCGCCGTCCTTCCTCCTCTTCGTCGTTGGCGTCGTCGCCGTCTTCCCCCCTTCATCGTCGTTGTTGTCGTTGTCGCCGTCGTCGTTTTTTCTCCTCCCTCGTCGTCGTCTCCGTTGGCGACGTCGTCGTCGTCTTCGTCGTCGGCGTCGTTGTCGTTGTCGTCGGTGTCGTCGTCGTCGTTGTCGTCGTCGAAAACATTGGAGACGTCGTCGGTGTCGTCGCAGTCGGTGTCGGCGGCGCCGTCGTCGTCGATGTCGCTGTCGTCGTCGGCGTCGGTGTCGTGGCCAAGTGCCATGTGGTACCTGCCGTCACGGTCTTGTCTGCAGAGGTATTGCGACCAAGTTGCGGGTGGGAGGGTGGGATGTTTGCACGAGCAGTGGAGAGGACAGCTTCAAGACGGTCAAGATTAATTGCACCACATATATTGCACCACAGAGATTGCACCATATAGGTTGCTCGCCAAAAATTTCACAACTGATATTGCACCACCTTGATTGCATCACCTATATTTGACCACACTGATGACGCAACATTGGCTGCAAAAAAAATTGTTGACGCTTCGCGTATCCCCACCAGCCCATCCAGAAACGATGCTCAGGGGAGTTAAGGTGATCAGGGAAGTCGGGGAGCATGCAGAATAACAAAGGGCGGGGGAAGCTGTCACAGACCCCGAGAGGGGGAGGATGGAAGAGGAGTCGTCGTCGTCGTCGTCGGAGGAGGAGGAGGAGGGGGAAGAGGAGGAGGAGGAGGAGGAGGAGGAGACGGAGAAGGAGGAAGAATCGGAGGAGGAGGAGGAGGAGGGGAAGGAGCTTCTTGGGGGTCTTTTGAGGGCCTCTTGGAGGGCTTTTTGGGCGCCTTGGGGCATCTTGGGCGCCTCTTGGGACCCTCTTGAGGCGCTCTGGGGAGCCTTCGGGGCGCTTTTGGGGCCATCTTGGAGGGAGTCGATCAAACAAGAGGGGGGGTTTAATTAGCGCCCCCCCTCGGAAGCCCCTAAAATCGCCTCTTGGACCCCTCTTGGAACGCTCTTGGAGTGCTCTTGGGCGCTCTTGGGGCCGTCTTGGGGCTCTTTTGGGGCTCTCTTGGGGCCCTCTTGGGCCATCTTGGAGCCATCTCCAGGCCTCGGATGGCCATCGGAAGCGAAAAGGCGAGAAAGCAAAAATCATTGATTTTCCTTAGGTTTTGGGACGATTTTGGCCTCTTCGGGGCCTCCTTGGGGAGCTGTTTGGCCACTTGGAGTTATCTTGGGGCCGTCTTTGGGCTTCTTGGAACCATCTTAGGAGCCATCGTGAGCGATCTTGCGCTATCTTGAGCCATCTTGGAGCTCATCTTGGGTTCTCTGAGGCGCTCTTGGAGCCGTCTTGGGCCATCTTGGACGCTCTAACTACCCGCGGCCCCCCCCGTCCAGGTCCAGGGGAGGGGGTAGGGGGAGGGGTAAACCCCTCCCCAAGGGGGAAGAGGGAGGGGTGGAAGAGGATCTGTTCTAGACCACCTACGCCCAGAGGGCTGGTGGGATTAGCCTGGCGAAGGACCCAACCATATGCAGAGTTGTGAATACCGCAATTGTGAATACCATCTTCGCCCGCGCTCCCTCTGTGGCCACGGCTTCCCGCCGGAGCCCGACATGCTCAGGGGCACGTTCGTGGCCGTCTTCGCGGGCGCCGACGACGACAAGGACGGCGTCCCTCTCACCGAGGAACAGAAGCAGGAGAGGGCCTTGACAGCCATGACGGAGGAGGTGGCGTTGCACGTCGACAAGGCGGAGTACGACTCCCAGGCGCGGTTGTTGAAGCAGCGCAACTATGGGGCCACGATCCTCGTGAGGGATGTGCCGCAGTGGCCTGGGGCCGCCATGCGAACGCTGCCACTGGCGCCTTCGGTGGAGCTCCCTATGGGGCCACGATCCTCGTGAGCGGTGTGCCGAAATGGCCCGAGGCCGCCATGCGAACGCTGCCGCTGGCGCCTTCGGTGGAGCTCCCTATGGGGCCACGATCCTCGTGAGGGGTGTGCCGAAATGGCCCGAGGCCGCCATGCGAACGCTGCCACTGGGGGCCTTCGGTTGAGCTCCCTATGGGGCCACGATCCTCGTGAGGGGTGTGCCGGAATGGCGCGAATCCGCCATGCGAACGCTGCCACTGGCGCCTTCGGCGGAGCGCCCTATGGGGCATGGGGCCACGATCTTCGTGAGGGGCGTGCCGAAATGCCCCGAGGCCGCCACGCGAACGCTTCCACTGGCGCCTTCGGTGGAGCTCCTCTCATGGGGCCACGATCCTCGTGAGTGGTGTGCCGCAGTGGCCTGGGGCCGCCATGCGAACGCTGCCACTGGCGCCTTCGGTGGAGCTCCCTATGGGGCCACGATCCTCGTGAGCGGTGTGCCGAAATGGCCCGAGGCCGCCATGCGAACGCTGCCACTGGCGCCTTCGGTTGAGCTCCCTATGGGGCCACGATCCTCGTGAGGGGTGTGCCGGAATGGCCCGAGGCCGCCATGCGAACGCTGCCACTGGGGGCCTTCGGTGGAGCTCCCACGATCCTCGTGAGGGGTGTGCCGAAATAGCCCGAGGCCGCCATGCGATCGCTGCCGCTGGAGCTTTCGGTTGAGCTCCCTATGGGGCCACGATCCTCGTGAGGGGTGTGCCGATATGGCGCGAGGCCGCCACGCGAACGCTTCCACTGGCGCCTTCGGTGGAGCCCCCTATGGGGCCACGAAACGCTGTACTGGGTGGGTGAAACGCAGGGAGGAGGGAAGAGTGACGGGAGGGGGGAGGAGGGGGAGGAGGAGAAGAGAGGAGGAGGAGGAAAACGCGGGGCGACGCCTCTTCAAAACGAGGACCCAACACCACAGGATGGTTGGGAAAAATTGCACCACACATACTGCACCACGTAGGTTGCACAACATATTTGTCATAACACAAAATGCACAATATGTATTGGACCATGCAGTTATCACAAAACGTATTGCGCAGCACACGTATATGTATACTCAAGTACCTACAGTGTACCGCAAATGTTGCTCGTACTTTGCTCCGTGCCAAATGCCTCACGCTGATTGCACCGCATAGGTTGTACTACATCTATAACACATAATGTGATATACTGCACAATCTAGATGGCGCAACGCGAACTGCACCGCGTAGAGTGCACAACACAGATTGCACTACATCGATGTCATTCCATAGTTTGCTCCACGTAGACTGCGCTTTTCTGAAAAGAGAGTTGGGATCTACCCCCTCCCCCCCCGATCACGCGCCCGCTTTTTAGTGTTGCAATGTGCAAATGATTCATTGGTTGACGCCGCGACGCCGACCCGTTGGGGTGGCAGTAATTCTGAAAAACGGAGTTTGCGGAAAGCGCGCGATTTCTGGGTAATCTTAGGGTTTCAGCTTCTTGGGATTTCGTCGGGGGCGGTTGGCGGATCGCGGCTCTCCTCCTGGGTTTCTCTGAGCTCTGTTGGCAGCACCTTTCATGCCTCTTGGAAGCCTTGTTGAGGCCTAAGAGGGCATCTTTTGGACCTCTCGGGGGCCTCGAGGGAGTCTCTGCGGGGCCTCATGGCGTCTCCTCAGGTTTTTTGGGGGTCGAGTGCTCGAAATGTCCATTCGGGTTCCCCCTCTGGGCTTCCTCTTGGGGCCGTCCTGGGGCCCTCCTGTGCCGCTTTGCAGGCTTCTGGGGCCGATCGTTTGCGCGCCGCGGGTATGACGGTGGAGGTCCCCGAAGGCATCCCGAGACCACCGGAGGTTTCCTCTAGGGCCCCTGAGGCCTCAGGATGTTCGGAAGAGGCGACCACGTTCCAAAACTTCAGTCTTCGATCCTCGACCCCCCCTCTTCGTCCCCTCCCTCCGTGGGACGGCCGCGCCGGTGCGCCCCAGGCGTTCGAGGGCCTGGCTCCGAGATCCAGATCCAGGATCAGCACGGGTCCGTGTTTGACTCGCCAGGCGACGACGAGGTCGTGGCGCACAGCAGGGCTGGGCTTCGGGACGCTGGCAACGGGGATCCGCGCTACCCGGGGTGAGCCAGTCCATTCTGGGTGGCCAAAGTTCGTCAGCCATATACCGAGGAAGAAGCAATCACGTCTTTGAACAACTCGGAGGTCCGCGCGGATTCCTCGGATCGGCGCTGGACCCCCTCCCTGGCGAGCGGAGCGCGCAAGGGGCGGCGCCGGGCGCGCCGCCAAGGGGGCCCAGCGCTGATTCGAGGAATCCGGGCGGGCCTCCGAGTTTTTCTGTTTGTCTCATTGTTCGTTCCCCTGTTCCCGTCCCTCCTCCCAAGGGTTTGGGAGCTGATATGCGGCCAGCCGGGGTTGGCGGCATGGCCTTGGCTGACCCGGGGTAGCGCCGACCTTTGTAACGCACGCCCCCGATGGTCGAGGGTGTGGCCTGCCAGCCTTGTGCGCGGGCACTGTTTTGTCGCATGGATTTGATCTTGCATCGGCACGAGCGACATGGTACGGACGTACGTACAGCAGTTCCTGTTCATTTTGAACCGGGTTCGCTGTCGGCGTCGCCGCGGACATTGTCCATTTGAGACAGACGGCCGCCTGCCAAACAGCGATCGCTGTCGGAATTGGACAACATTCGTTGTTGGGTATTGTACCATTGTTTTTGGTACCACTTTCGGGCGACCAATGCGCAGTGCTTCTGACCACTGGTGGATTTGCCTGTCGTCATGGCTGGACTCGATTCGAAAAGCTGATTTGGATGTCGCCTGGAGCAGTTGCGATCAGCGACGTTCACGATATCCACATTGCGGACAGCCGTGGGTGCCTTGTGGGCGCTCCGTGTTCTGGTTGGGTGTGTCGTGATGGGCGCCGTGGGCGCCTCGTGGGCGACTCGCGCTGCTTGCATTACATTACACTGATTGCACTAGATAGCTTGTATCACTTTGCTTACGCCTCAAACATTACATCGCCGTAGCTTACAGCTTGCACCACATTGCTTTCCAACGCGTCGCTTGCACCACTCAGCTTGCACTGTGCCAAATAGCTCGCATCACACATCCTCTGTGCCACATTGGTTAACACCACAGTGATTTCACCACCAAGCTTGCACCATTCACAATTCGTACCACATTGCTGGCAGCGCGCATAGCTTGCACCACATAGCGTGCACCACACAGCTTGCACAACCATGGTTCAGAAGCTCACGATTTGGGGCCTGCGCCTGTAAGCATGTGTGTTGCAACATGTGTTGTGCAATATGTGCATGTCGCAGCGTATGTGTTGCAACCTGCATGATGCGCTACGATGAAAGGTAGGTGGCGTAGCATGTGGTGTGATCTAGGGAGTCTGTAATATGTCGGGTGGAATGTGGTACAATATTGTGCTGGCCTCTGGCCAGTGCCGCCGATCGGGGGCGCTCCAGATAATGATGATGATGATGATGATGATGATGATGATGATGATGATGATGATGATGATGATGATGATGATGATGATGTTGATGTTGATGTTGATGTTGATGTTGATGTTGATGTTGATTGTGATAATGATGTTGATGACAATGATGTTGATGACGATGTTGCTGATGACGATGATGATGATCATGAATATGATGACGATGATGATGATGCTGATGATGATGCTCATGATGATGCTCATGATGATGATGGTGATAATGACGATATTGATCATGGTAATGGCCATGGGGTCATCTTCAGCGTCTTGGAGCGATCGTTCGGTGATTCGGGGCGTTCTTGGGCCGTCTTGAGGGCCTCTTGGGGCCTTGTTGGCCCGTCTTGCCTCTCTTGGGCTTGAAAAAAGTACTGCGGGAACATTCTGGGGGGCCCAGAGGTCGCGCGGGGAGCCTCAAGAGATTTGAGGGCTTGGGGTCCGGGCCCAGTAAGAATCCTCAGGTTTGAGGACTGAGGCTCAGAGGATTGAGCAAGGGACCTGGGGAAGCCTCTTGGGCGTCGCTTTGGGGCCTCTTGGGGCCTCTTTCGGGCCCCTTGGGGGCCTTCTGCGGCCTCCTGGGGGCTTCTTGGGGATCTATGGGCCCCCCCGCCCCCGAGCACTAAATGCGTCGGGAATGGCGTCCCCCCCCCCCCTCCCCCTTGCAGAGCGAAGCTTGAGCGAGCTCAAGTCCATGCTCTCAGAAACCCACACGCAGGATCGGCGGATATGAGATCCCATCTATGTGTTGCTTGCGATCTGGTACATTGAGGACGTGTAGTGCAAGCTATCTGGAGCAAACGCCGCCCAGCGCACGTGCTGGGTACGAGGCGCCTACGGGCGGGCACAAGGCGAACGTCGGAAAATAATGCCAGCCAGCGCACGGGGCGGGCACGAGGCGAACACACGGGGGGGGCACGCATGCGAGCGGAAGACTTGAGCTGGCCCGAAGGCGCTTCACGACACAGCCAACATTGAACCCGAACCCAAACGTGAAGTGCACGTGAAACGGGAAGTGGCCCACCTGGCAGGTTCCGTCGGCAAGTCATCGTTGATCGTTGCTGCAGGCCCCTCTGAGCACAGGCCCCCCGCCATAGCATCAGCCGAACATGTCGGGTTTGCACCCCATGCCTTGCTTGACTTTGGGCGCGTTTCGGCACTGCCAGTGCCGCCGCCGCCGTCCTCTCCTCACGGCAGCCGAATCGGGTGACGGCGACAGCGACTGTGGCTGTGGCCAGCGCGTCCAAGCTTGGCGGCGTGCAGAGCCAGATTGGGAGGAATCCGATATCCTCAGAAACGGACGGAGGAGCAGCAGCAGCAGTAGGGAGGGGGTACAAGACCGGCAAGGATAGCAGGTCAAAACAAGAGACGACAAACGTGACGGGAACACCCATGTGAGTGGAGAGTCTGTTCGGGTGAGCTGCCCCGGAAGCGCTTCTCGGCGCACCCACAGTTGAAGCTGCAACGAAAACTGAAAAACGCACAGAAAAGCGGACAGCGCCCACCCTGCAGGTTCGGTTGATCAGCGAATCGTTGAGCGGTGCTGCAGCCTCCCCTGAGCACAGACCCCCCTGAGAATATCAGCCAGAGAGGTCATGTTTGGACCCTCATGGTTTGCTGAACCCTGGGCACGTTTCGTCGTTGCCACTGCCGCGAGCGCTCCGACGTCAGGGCCACCGAGCCGGATGACGGCGACAGCGACAATGGCGGTAGCCGACGCGCCCAGCGGCGCGCAAAGCCAATTTGCGAGTAGTGATGTACTTTCTCAATCTGGCGGGGAAGCAGCAGCAGCAGCAGCAGCAGCAACAGCAGGGAGGGTAAGACAAGACCGACGGGGATGGCGAGGGGATCACCCATGTGAGCTCAAAGACGGTTCGGGTGAGTTGGGCCGAAGGCGTTTCACGGCGCGCGCACAGCTGAAACCAAAGCCACAGTTGAAGTGTGCAGAAAAATGGGAAGAGCCTCCTTGCAGTTTCGGTCAACAGCACGTCGTTATGCAGCTCCCCTTGAGCACAGCCCGCCCCCCCAGAGCATCAGCCGGACAAGTCGGACTTGCGCCCTTGATGCTTTGCTGGATTTTGGCCGCGCTTCGGCACTGCCATTGCCACCGCGGCCCATCGTCAGGGCCACCGGGTCGGATGACGATGATAGCATCAGTGGCGGTGGCCGACGCGTCCCAGCATGGCGGCGCGCAAAACCACACTTCAAGGCCCACCGAATAATGTTCTAAGAACCTGGTTGTGCCATGCGCGAATCATTCTTGGAAGTCATCTGGTCGAGACTGTCGTGTTCTAGTACATCAATCTTTCGTTGTCACAACGTCGCTTTTATTGTTTGGACATTTTCGGTTTTAGGAAATGTCGTGGTAGGCCTTTAGGAATGCAGTGATGACCGGTCCCTGCTCGCAGAATGCGAAGAATTCGATATCTTCTCAAACGAACTGGGGCGACATAGCAGCAACAAGGAGGGGAAACAACACCGACGCTGAGAGCAGGACAAGATAAGACGCGACAGGCGTGAGGGGGTCACCCGTGCGAGTTGAAAGCTGACTCGGGTGAGCTGGCTTGGCAGCGCTTCGAGGCGCACGCGAAGCTGAAACCGAAACTGGCGTTGGCGTGCAGAGAAGAATGGAGTGGACCCATCCTGAAGGTTTGGCCGCGAGCACATCGCTGAGCGGTGTTGCGTACTCCTCCGATCACAGCCCCCCAGAGCATCTGCCAGACAATTTGGGTTTGCACCTTCATGCCTTGCTGCAATGACAGCCGCCGACGCTCTTTTGTCAGGGCCACCAGTCCAGGTGACGGCGACAGCGACACTGGAAGTGGCCGACGCGTCCAAGTTTGGCGGCGTGCACAGCCAGATTGTGAAGATTTCGGTATCTTTGAAGTCGACGGGGGGCAACTGTGATTATTTCAACCAACGTTTCGGGCAGGCACGGGGCGGGCACGGACTGGAACCAGGCGACAATTGAGGAACGCCATCCAATCCTTCAAGACAAAAGTTTCAGCCACGTAGTGCAATGTCCACTTCCTGGTGTAAGCAATCATTTGCTCTCCTGCGCGGGCGAGGGGGCGATGCGGCCTCCCGACACGCAATCAGCTGTGAAGCGTTCCTGGCTGCTCCCTGCCGCGGCAACGTTGCGAGCACCGTCGCCAGCACCATAAACACTACGAGCATCAAGCGGGCTGTGTTTCATCCGGAGCACCGCATGCGTTGGAAGAGTTGCGAACCACATCGGATCCAGTACGCGTGAGGCGCTATGGGGCTAAAAGCACTGTTTCTGGTTGTCTCGACTGCGGGGCCCATGGGTCATTTGTTTTGTTCCATCGGTAAGGTCTTAACCACATTGCGTCCAACTCCCCCTTTCATCTACTTTTTTTCACTTCCACATCGGGGTCCTCGTCGTCATCGTCATACTCCCCCTACCTCCCGGCCTTCGTCGTGCTTTGGCCTTTCCCCCTTCCGCCTCTGTTGCCTCCCACTTCCTGTCCATTGTGCCCCTTCCCTACCCCCCCAGATGCCTGCAGTTGGCTGTGCTGGCGGGTGGTAGTCTTTGAGTCAGTGCGACACATTGCAGGACGAATGCATACCCTACAGCGGGAGGGGGCGGCGCAGAAAAGACGCCAAGACATGGGCGCAGGGCTATGCGAGCACAGTGTTCTGCCCCGTTGTCCTCCTCATCTTCTCAGGTCGTCGCCGCGCCGCCTGCGCCCCTGGAGCCGTCTGCTCCTGCGGGGCAGCCGCCCGCGCTCTCCCGCGGGATGAGCTCTCAGGAGGACGGCGCTCTCGCATGCTTCGCGAACTCGACAGGGCAGGAGGAGGAGGAGGAGGAGGAGGAAGACAAGAGTGAGTCAAGGAGTGAACTGGTGGTGGTGGTCGTCGTCGTCGGACACCGCGAATTCTTGTGCACCGATCTCGCGCTGGCTTGAAATGGCACAGTACAATATAGAAATCATATAGACGAGGGAGGAGGAGGGCTAACCCCACGTTCGTCCTCCCTAGCTTCGTTGTACAGGCCGAGGATGCGACTCCACGTGATAGTGGCTATGTGCCCACGTGCGCTTCGTACTCAGCATTGTGCTTGTTTGGGGCCATTAACGGCCGTCTTCGAGGCATCCCAGACCATGTGTTGTTCCTTGGTTGCTTGCATGGGCCGTCTTGAAAGCTCCGGACACGGATCCATCGTTTTTGCGACGGGATCGTGGCCTCGGGAGCGCGGGCCCAGGGCTTTTGTTTTACGAGGGATCGTGGCCTCGGAAGGGGGGGGGGATGATGCATGCGAATAGACGCCATGAAAGGGGGGCCTTCTTAGAATACAGAAACCCTACCGGACAACCCTTGGCATTCTTCCACGCCTTTACCTACACAAGGCGCGGTGGCATACTTAAGGGCCGACTTCTCCGAGCAAGCAAATTCTGAACGGATAGTCGTTTCGCAGGCCTCAGATTCTGTCATCATATCTGCGATATCCCGCACGGAAGGGTCTGCGGTGGCTTGAATTTCTGCGCTCATTCGAACGTGCAAAGCTGGAACCTCTGGGCGCCATCGGCCGAGTCCTGACGGACGCTCCTTGGCAGGCTTGGAGGCCGCTCTCTGATTCAGTTGCTCACTCTGGTCAATAGAACTGGTAGCAGGCGTGCTCAAAGGATCCATCGCACATCGATTGGCGGAACGGCAAGGTTCTCCGCCAATACCTTCCGCAAAGCACGTTAGTTAAACAGCATCCAGACTTCCGCGAACGCAGTAAAGGCCTAGCAAAGGCTTCCGCGCAGCAAAGGTGGAGCTCTTAGGAGGACGGTGTCCCTCTGTATCTTGCGCTCTCGAAAGGGGTGGGCGGACGGGAAGGGGAGGAGGGAAGGAGTGAGGAGGAGGTGAAGGGGGCAGGGCCTCATCGTCGTTCTTGGTTTGCTTGGATGCTGCGGCGCGCGCTCGCGTCTGAGTTCGATGAAATTGGGGGGGGGACTTGAGTTGTCCGCATCGGCTGGCGACCGCGGGAGGCAGTAGGTCAATTTTGGGTGTGTTAGCCCATATATATATATATATATATGTATATATATATGTACATATGTATATAATATACATACGTACGTACGTACATACATACATACATACATCTACATATACATCTATATATATATATATATGTATATATAGATACACACATACATATAAGCGGCGTCTGGGGGCCCGCGGCCCAGGGTCGCACACTTTTCGCAAACTCCCCCCCCCCGTAACCGAGTTTGCCCCCTGGGCTGCGGGGGCCTTTTTTGGCATCCAGGGGCCCGTTTTCGGAGTCCCGGAACTTTTTCCGCTTCCCCGAGGCGTCCACCTAGGCTTCTGGAGACGGCAAGAAGCCGCCAAGACGACCCAAGAGCGCTCCAAGCCGCCCAAGATGTCCCCATGATCGGCCCAAGAGGCCCCCAAGATGCCCCAAGGTCGCTCCGCGAGGACCTCCAAGAGAGCCCCAAGACGCCAAAATCATTGATTTTTTATTGCGTGTTTCCTATATGTGTTGCTTCTCACGTTTTCGAGCGGCCGACACTCCAAGAGTGCCCAAGAAGCCTCCAACGTCGCCCCAAGAGGTCCCCAAGAGGCCCCCAAGAGGCCCCAAAGACAGCCCAAGAGGGCCGCATGATCGGCCCAAGAGGCCCCCAAGACGGCCCAAGAGGGCCTGAAGAGGGCCTGAAGACGGCTCCAAGATGGGCCGAAGAGAGGGAACGCGAACCGACCTTTCGAGTTTCCCGCCCCAGGAGACCCCAGGAGGCCCCAAGATGCCCCCAAGTGGCTCCAAAGAGGCCCCAAAGATGCTTAAGAGAGGTCCGACAAGCTCCACAACGCCCCCGTGGAGGCTTCAAACCTGCTTCCAAAAGGCCCCCCGAGAGGCATCCCAAGATATCATCCCAGCGAACATCCGAGAAGCTTTTAACCCACAATCCAGACACACGGTTGCGGGATGGGCCCAGAACTGCCACCTTTGGTTCGCATGGGGGGCTGGGGGGGCCTTGAGGGCTCCAAGAGGATTCAGAAGGGGCCCCGGACCCCTCCAGAGGCTCCAAAGCTGGCCCAAGATATTCCCAGGAGGCTCCAGAGAGCCCCCTAAATGCCCGAACAGAGGCGCCCTCTGCCCCAATAGGCCCCCAGGAGGCCCCACGAGACTCCCAGGAGGCCTCCACGACGCCCAAAAAAGCAAACAAAAAGGCTCCAAAAAGACCCGAGAAGCTCCCGAGAAGCCCCCACCGAGCTCGCAGGAGGCCTCTGCACAGAGCCTCAGAAGCCCGCCAGAAGCCTTTCGTCACCTATGCTCCGGAACAGCCCTTCGGAACACGTGGCCCTGGCTGCACCCCAGGACCCGCCCACCCAATGTCGAGGCCCGAGGTCGCCCCCATGAAGCCCGCAAGACGCTCCGGAAACGCCTCCCGCACGCGTGGATCAGGTGACAATGCTGCTGATCGTCGGTGGTCCGTCGTCGTCGTCGTCGTCGGTCGTTTCTGGTACGCGACAGGCCAATCCCTTCCTTGAAATTCGCAGTATCCGCCCGAAAATCACGCATGGGTGAAAGGGAGGAACACGAAAGACCACATGGAAAACGTCCAATGGAAATTGACACCGTCTTCGGAGTCCACTAGAACCTAAGCGTGCGCGAAGAACGCGCGTGGTTTTAGTCCGCGATTTAAGGCCCGTCCCCCGTTCTTGTCCTTCTTCATCTTCTCCTCCCTCCTCCTCCTCTTCCTCCTCCACCTCCTCCTCTTTTGTTCCTCTTCCGCCTGAGTCCTCTGGGACGTGCGAGTTGAACTTGCGACTCACGGCGCTTAGGTATGGGATCTAGGTTCCTTCCGGGGCAGGAACACCGCCCCACCCATCAGCCTCGATGCTCAAAATTGGGGCATGCCCATCGCCCTCGCGCCCACCAAGGCTGATGACGGCACACCATACACCATCAGCATCTCATTCCACGCGGTAGATGATGGGAGCCGCCTTGCAGCAAATCCACTTGCAGGACGAAGCCCTTACCCTAGGTGGCCCGAGCCCCGCCAGCACCGACTGCCCTGGAAATGAATCCTCATCCCGCGTTCCGTAAGACGGCCAAGGCTACGACGCTCACGCCAAGCCACGTCCAGGGAACGGGGTCCCAAGAACGTGATACAAGTGGCATCGGACCCCGCGGTCAACGTGATTTGGAATCACCATCAGTGAAACGGATCGCCGTTTCGTCATCCCTCCAAGAGCTCTTCACGTCACAGTTCTCTTGGACAGTGCCAATCAACGATTGGCGGCAACCAGGGGAACAGGCACGGCCCAATCTGGGACCAAGGAGTGTCTCGAGGCCACCAAGCGTGATCACGCACCCAGGCAATCGTTTGCGACCCCAGCGACGCCTTCACCGCAATCTTCACCTCCCACTCCCGCGCGGTCCATGTTCAAGAACCAAAATGAGGCTGCCAGGACGCCAGCCACCGCACCGTGACGGGCAAACGAGGACTCACCGCAATACTAAGGATCAGGCCGGCCGGCGTCCCGACAATCCCCTCTGCGTTGGCTCCGGGAGGTTTCCAGTTTGACATCATCTATCTCGGCGCGAAGGGGCCTGCACCGTGTGAGTACGTTGTCGCGTGGTACCAGGATGGTTACCAGGCCACGCTCCATGAGAGCCACCAGGCATCCACGAGAGCCACCAGGCATCTCAAGCGCCGAACGCCTTCGGAGCCGTCCTTGCCAAAGCAAGAATTGGTACCCGAGCCGAATTGGACACGAAAGAGGCCAAGGCCGTGGCTATCGAACTCTGCAGGGCCGACGCGGCACTTGCTAGCGCCAGGTACCGCAACGCAGACATCAGGCCCCAACGTGCCACTAATATCAAATTATCCTAGATCCTCGCCTCCTTCAAATGGCATTGCGAAGTCCAACGCGTGGGCTGGGGCAATGCGACAATAGGGTGACATCGCGATCGCCATGGCGGCATCGGCTCCGCCCGACACCACCGCGCACGTGCGGGCTGCGATCTCTCCATGGACTATCGCACAGGTGCTACTGCCAGATGGAATCACCAAACTCACCGATGGCAACGGTTGTCTCGCCACAGGCCATCGCAGCGGACCCCCCCCGCGCAGGGGCCGCCACCGGGCAGTCCAAGTGTTGCTGCGACGTCGACCTTCCAAGCATCCACAGGGCCACGCCTCCTAGCATTGCTGACTTCGTCGTCCGACCAGCAAGATGGGGCGCTCATCGCGCCACCGCCAGCGAACGAGCGAGGGGGCACCTGCGTGAACGGAGCGCGCCGGCGCTCTGTCAGCGTCGCTAGGCGCGCGGCCGACCCTCCCGCGAAAGAGGGCGGGCCCGCGGCCAGCGCGGCCCCGCCATGCCAACGCGGAGCCTCCGACCAGGCCGACGCCCGCTTCCGCTGCCTGGATGCAGACCAGCAGAGACTGGCTGACATGGCACGCCGATTTGAGACCGCGGTCACCAGCGCAGCTACGAGCCATGCCACAATGGCGCAACATTGCCAACAGCTCGAGCAAGGTACGTATCGCGACAGTCCAAGGCACGCCAGCCTCGACGCGGACTTGGAACCCCCCATGGCCTAGATGGCGCCACTCGTCACGCCGGCGCCGCGCAGCCCCGGCCCCCCCCGCCCCCGCGCCAGACCAGCCGGGGCCGGGGGGGCGCCGACGCCATCGCGGGGGGCGCGCAGGCGCAGCCGAAGCAGCTCGACGGGGGGGCGGGGTGCAGGAGTTCGACCTCGGGGCCATGCCGCCGCGCCGCGCGCGCCACGAGGCGCCGCGCCGTCGGGCCCGTGCTGGAAGGGCCTCGACGGGCGCCCCTCATCCCGCCAAGGTAACGACATCCGACGGAGCTTTGCTTGCATGTGTCGGCATTTGCAGGGGCAGAAAGACGGGCTTCGCCTCGGTGCGGCCCCTGCTAGTTGGCTTTTGCTCTTCTGCGTCCAGTTCGCCAGGGCCACTGGCCAACTCGGCGTGCTCGGGATCGCACGGCTTCGGCAGGGGCGAAGAGGGTCTCCGTAGCACTCGGGTCAGATGCGCTCTTGCCGCCCTGCGCGCGCCCGCGGCGGCGCTCTCCGCGCCGCCGCCGCCGCGCGCCCCGGACCCATGAGCGGCCGCCCGCGCTCGGATCCTCGCGCGGGGCCGCGCTTGAAGCGGCCGCGTGGCACTCGCCCCGAAGCCTGACCGAGTCGGGCCGAGCACGTCTACGGAGTGGCGGCGGGCGCCGTCGCGGCCGCGGGCGCCCCCTCTGCCGCTGCGGGCGACGCGCAGCCTCCCGCCGCTGCGCCTCCTACTACGACGTCGCGGACCACTTCAGTTTTTGCGCCCGTCGAGGATGACGGGGCCGCCGCGGGTAACAATTGCAGCGCGCGGCCGCAATCGCCCGCCGGAGCCCCTCGACCCCCCCCCCAAAAAAAAGGCCCAGAAGGACCGCTGCGCGCGCAAGCGACTGCGATCGACTCGACCAGCTACCGTAGCTGTTGAGAGCGAACGCAACCAGCAACGACCAAGCTGGTCGCTGGCACGCCCGGCCACGCGCTGGCGCCAACCAGTCGGCAGACAAAAACGAAGCACGAGCATCCCCGACGCCCTCCGGCAGGTCGCGCAGGTCGCGGGTCAACTTGGGCCTGGCACACGGGCGCTTGCCTCGCCAGTCGAACGGGCGCGCGCCGCGGGAACGCCAGGGGGCGGATGGGCACCAGTCCGCCCGACCCAGCCACAGCGAGGCGTCACCCACTTCAACCGCGACGACCCCAACCCAGTCCCCGACAGAGAGGAAGGGACCCCCGATGACCCCATTGAAGACCCAGACGACGCTAACGGACTGATGCAGATTTGTGCAGGCTCAGAGTCGACCTTCGCGGTTGCCTCCCACGGGAAGAGGCTGCTCCGACGCATCCAGCGCACAGCCGCCGCACGAAACCCGCGGGATCCACTTCGCGCGCGCTTCCAGACCTGGACGAAGGAACGCGTCGACCGCGTCGCGGAGAAGATTCAGCACCGCAGCTACGCGCCGCTGCATCGACCTATGCGAACTGACGACGCACCGCCCAAGTGCACACTATAGCGAGAGGCGCGCGATCTCTTGTCGAGCAGCATGGCGAAACACGCAGCGCACTCGGACTCACGCGCGAATGACCTTCAACGAGCTGGCCAACGAGGATTGACCCATTAAGTAGCCTGGAAAACTACACTCGGGTTGGCCACTTCGGCCATTTCGGCCACGCGGGGGCTCGACAGGATAGCCTTCGCCAGCAACAAGAGGCGCGCCCTGCGATGCCGCCTCCCCACCCACGAAGGGCGCCGACGGACGTCGGCGTTCCGCCTCCGCCATCAGGCCAGGGGCCTTGTGGATATCTTGTGGGGGCCATTGGGGGCTTCTTGGGGTCATCATGCTGCCCTTCGCGGTTCTCTCACCGACATGGTCCCGATGTGGAGTGTTTCATCTTGTGGTTTTCTCTGGGCCATCTTTGAATTTGTTGGGCTGTGTTGTGGCTCTCCTGGGCCGTCGTGAAGCCTTCTTGGCCAGTCTTGGGGCGATCTTGGAGGATGCTCGGGCGGTGTCGAACACCCGGAAATCCGAAGAAGTGATCTTTCGAGCATTCTACAACACCGTCAGACAATCTTCACATTTAGAATTTTGATGTCTTTTTGGGGGTGCTTTTGGGTGTGTTGTCGGGCGTCTGGTGGGCGTGGTGGGGCGACCACGGAACAACCACGGGGCAACCATCGGGGTAACAGTCTGATATGACATCATGCATATTTCAGTTTGGCTACATACCTTGTTCACGATACATCCGCATCGCAAACAAACACATCGGCGTTTATCTCCATTTCTTTGTTGCGCGATGCGTCTATTGACGGGGCGACCATTGGACAACCACGGGAAAACAATGCGTCAACCACAGAACAACCACGAGACAATTTCGGGGTAACCACTGGGTAGCCACGAGACACTCACGAAACAACCGCGGTGACAACCAAAGGACAACAACGGGGCAACCACGGGACAACCGGGGAGCAACAGTTGGATAGTCGCGCGACGTCCACGGGACGACCATGGGAAGACCACTGGACAGCCACAGGATAACCGCCAGACAAGCGCGGGACAAGGTTGTGCACTTACTGGCGCTTGGGGACCCCTTTTTTGTCATGATCGTGGCCTGTAGGTGGTGCAGAGATTCGGGCAGGTACGCCTCGTCCCCGCGCTCGTCGCTCTCGTCACGCACGACACGAGCCGACAATTAAACATATGTCCCTGTTTGGGCATTCCGTTTCGTTCGATGTCATTTTTAGTCTCCGATCGATGCATATTGGGGTCGATGCGGCCGCGGGGCCAATCTACAGCCAAAATGATGAGCTCTTGTGGATGCTTCCTGTGATGATTGTTGGAAGTGGTAAACTTGTTTTCTTGTATGTGGTCCTCTTCGGAGCCTCTTGGGGATTTTTTGAGGGTTTGTGGTGGTTTGTTGGGTACTCTCGTGGGGATTATCTGTAGCCTCTGGGGGGCCTGCAGGGGATTTTCGGGCCGTCTGAGGTGTGAGAAGAGCGCGAGCGCCCAGCTATGTTCCTGGTCCGTGCGCGATCCCCTTTGTGGATTTCTTGGGTATCTCTTGGACCTCTTCTGGAGGGCCTCAGAGGTCGTCTTGACTCCCTATCGGGGGCCTGTCTCGGGGCGTGTTGGACGTTCCTGAGAAGGTAACAAGTGTACGGCTCGTGCGAAGACACCAACTTTCGACAGTGTTGGTCTCTCGAGCTGGCTCGGGGCTCTCCCACGACGGTCCACTCCAGGATGTGGGAATGGAGGAGGCGCCATCCATTTCTTGCCTCTTCCCCCTTCCTGCCACCCCTCAGTGCTGTGGTAAGAAAGTTCCATACAGTGCAGGTGGGGCATGGCCCACCATACTTTCGACACTGAGCGTCGCGCTCCTGACGGAGGGGGGGAAGATGGACCTCGATGCGGTTTCATTAAAAGTGTATCCTTTCTTCCCAGTTCGCGGGTCTTCGCCGTTGCTGGGGTAGTTCCGCGCCCGTCTAGGAGTCGTTGCCCAATGGCGCGCGGGTGCGCTTGCAGAACATACGCTCCTCGCCACAGCTCAACGGCGTCGCCGCAACGGTGATCAGGCTCCCATCGGGAGACGGAAGGGGGAGAGCGAATTGGGTTGGGCGGGGTTGGGGGTGAGGCAGAGGAGGGAGGGACAAAGGGAGGAGGGATGGGCGGAGGAAAAGAGGGCGCAGGAGGAGGAAGGGAAAGAGGATAAAGAGGAGGAGGATGATAATAGTAATGAGGAAGATCAAGAGGATGAGGAGGGGGAAGGGAGAAGGAGGAGGGCGAGGTGGATGGAAAAAGGAGGAGGAGAAGGACGGGAACAACCTGATGATTATGATATGGCTTGATGCGCCCCAGACAACAGGAATACAATACGCTCACGAAAAGTTCCCGTAAACTGATGTTCCCCAAACTACCAAATATCCAAATATAACTGATGTGCAGTTGCCAAGATTAGGTGTTCCGTCCCGAATGACATTGTATGACTACTCATTACTCGTCACGTCATTGCATCATTACTCATCACTACTCAGCGCATAGCGCCGAAGAGCAGGCAAGCTTTGCGCGCGTTTGGCATCCCATCTATGATGTCCTACCTCTCTCCATCCTCCGTCCGATTGCGTCGCCCGGCCGAGCCAGCTCGAGTCGAGGCCCTTGCCTGCGCCGCTCGCCGCCCGCTTGCCGATTGCGCGCTCCCCCGATGGCCGCCGCGGCGCGCGTTTGCTCTCGGTCCCCCTCGGGCGGGGCGGCGGCCGCGGCGGCTGTGCCCCTCACGCCATGTTTCGGTTTGGCGGCGGACTCGGAGGCGGCGGGGGCTGGCCCCGCCGCGGGGGCGTCGGCGGCAGCAGCCGACGTGGCCCCGACGATGCCAGCGGTGGCGGTGATCGGCGCGGCCAACGTCACCCCGGAGATCGCGCAGGTCCAGGCGGTTGTGCCATTGCCACGGTCGCCGAGCGAACAGCCCGTCACGGGCCACAGCGAGCACAGCCAGATGTCGTGGGACAGGGAAGGGGTGCTCTATGTGCATGCCCATACACATATACATTCATGCATGCACGCATGCATGCATGCATATTCACACACGTTCATACGTACATTCACGCATACATACGTACATACATACATACATACAAACATACATACATTCATACATACATACATACATACATACATACAGATGTAGACATATATACATACGTACGTACGTACGTACGTACGTACGTACATACATACATACATACATACATAGATACGAGAGAGCGCTTTTCACGGACGCTTGCCTTGGGAACATTCGGCGGCGCGTTTCGAACGGGGAGGTGCCCCCCCCCCCCAACATTCGGCGCCGTCGATCAGAGCCAGCAGGACTCCCCTCCCCCCTAACCCCCTTCCTGAACCCCCTCACTCCCCCCCCCCTCCCAAGGGGGGGCGGTCCCCACCCCCCCTGGCGCCGGCGCCCGCGCTTGCAGTCGCCAGTAGCGCCGACGGCGGGGACGCGGCGCTGATGACCAGAGAGGGCCCAGGGGAAGGGGGGGGCAGTTCCAACCCCCCCCCCCTGCCTGCGCCGCCGCCAGCGTTGGCGGCGGCCAGGAGCGCCGTCGGCGGAGACGCAGCGATGATTGCCAGAGAGAACGAGCCGCAGAGGGAGCACGCAAATCGCCATATCGAGCCCTCGCCCCCAAGACGCCACCGAGAGGCCTTGAGGAAGGTCCACGAGACTGCACATATGCTCCTCAGACACCCCGAGACCCCTCTGATGAGACCTGAGTAGTCACCGTCCATCATAATTCTGACCCAAAACCAGAACACGGTGGCGGGACGATCCGTAGGCCACACCACCACCACCACCACCACCACCACCAAAAAACACCACGCCACCACCACCGCCACCACCACCACCGACCACAACCACCACCACCACCACAACCACCACCACAACCACCACAACCACCACTACCACAACACCACCGCCAACGAAAACGCCACCACCACTAGCACCACCGCAAACCACCATAACCCACCACAATCACCACCACCACAACCACCACCATCACTACTACCACCATCACCACCACCGCCACAACCACAACCATCACCACAACCCACCACCACCACAAACCACCACACCACCACCCCCACCACCACACCACACAACCCACCACCACCACCCACCAACAATAACCCAACCACCATCGCCGCCACTACCACCACCATCACCACCTCCACAGACCACCGCCGCCACCACCACCGCCGCCACCACCACCACAAACCACCACGCCACAACCACCACCGCCACCGCCACCGCCCTCACCACAACCCACCACCACCACAACAAACCACCACCACACCACCACCAAACCATCACCACCCCCACCCACCACCACAACCACCATCACCGCAACAGCCCACCACACCACCACCACCGCCACAACCACCACCACCGCCACCACCACAACAACCCACCACCACCACCGCCACAAACCACCGCACCACCACCACCACCACCGACCACCACAACCACCACCACAATAAACCATTACCGCCATCGCCCACCATAACCACCACCACTACCGCCACCACCACCACCACAACCCACCACCACTACTTCAACCACTACCACCACCTGAACCACCACGACAAACCACCACACCACCACCGCCACCACCACCACCAAGACCACCACAACCCACCACCACCACCAGAAACCACCGATCCACCACCACCACCACCGCCGCCGCCACCACCACCACAACCTACCACCACAACCGCCACAACAACCACCACCACCACCAACAACCACGCCACCACCACCACCACCGCCACAACCACCACCACCACCATCACCACCACAGCCCACCACCGGCACCACTTCAGAGAGGCCCCAAGAAGCGCCCAGGAGGCTGCACAAATGCTTTTCAGAGGCCCCCGAGAGCCCTCCGACTGGACCCCGAAAGGCATCCATTAGGACTCTTGCCCAAAGCCAAAGGACGGTGGCGGAGCGTCGTCGTCGTCGTCATCTTCGTCGCCGTCGTCCTCGTCGACGCTCCCCGCCGCCGCCGCCCGCCGCCGCAGGCGCCGGCGCTGGCCCGGAAAAGGGAGTCGTCGTCCCCGCAGCCGCCGCTTGCCGCCGCCGACGCAGCCGCCGGCCCGAGGAGAGGGAGAGAGGAGAAGTGGAGGGGGCAGAGAGGGGGGGGTTCGAACCCCCCCACCTCCGTCACGGAGGGGGGGGGGTCCGGTTCCAACCCCCCCCCTCCAAGCGACCGCAGAACGCGCTCTTTCATACATGCATACATACGTACATTCGCACGCGCATGTACATGCATGCGCAAATTCCTACATACACGCATGCAGGGCATGGGGCGGGGGGAGGGCCATATCGACAACCATGGGCAGGGAATGGGTTGCCACCCAGGAGCGGCAGCAACAACCATGGGCATGCCCATGGTTGCCGTCGCCGCTGGTTAGTTTCACTTTCGATTACAGTTCCATTCATTTCTGGAAATCCGATTGCACCTGCACATGCATACGCGCACACGCGTACACACATACTCACATGTGCACACGCGTTGCATATACATATGCACATATACATGCACGTACACCTACACATGCACACGCATACGCATAGACATACACGTGCTCATACGCATTCGCACGCCCCCACGCACGCACGCAACGCACGACGCTGCCCCTCCGGGGGCCCTTGGGGGGAGGTGGAACAGCGACCCAGCCGCGCGGGTTCACGCGAAGTCGCGGCCCGCCACGCGCGTGGGCCGGGAGATGGGTTGGGGCGGCGCGGCGGTTATCCCGCCGGGACTCGTCGTCAGTCGTCGTCGTCGGCGTTGTCCCCGCGTTCGACCCCCTACTCTGGAGTCCTTTGACTTTCCTTTCAGTCAATGCACCCCTTCCGCGCCACCGATCTTTCGCCCTGCCTGCTCTCTCGCGCTGTCCGCTTGCTGTGCTGACTGACTACTTCTGCTCCCGCAGCTATATACTTGAGCTTTAAGGAAACGGAGAAGGAGGGAGCCTGCGGCGCGCGCGCGTGCGTCGGCCGGCGGGCCGGCCTTCTCCCTTCAGTGTTACCTTAGTGTATGCTTGACGGCACTACTCCTTATTACCAATGTCATCTGCGGAGCCCACTGACCATGACATATCATCGGAACATCTTGCAGGGATTATGAATATCCAGGCGAAACACTGGTTATCAACCGAATCGACGGCACAGCCGTTCGCTTCGCAGAGCATGGGACATCAAGAAGGAACGCTCGGGCGAACAGAAGGTCGAAGACCTTCCGAGCGCAACGCAAGTATCAGCGCCTCAATGAGGCGACAAAAGTCTCTTAACCTTCCCAGTAAGAAAGCATCAGAGACGATGTTCGACTTAACAGAAGGGGATTCATCTGTTGATTCAGTGACAAGATCCAGAGAACAACGCTCGTGCGGAATGTATTGCACAGCAACAACTTCCGCCAAGGGACCCTCTGCGTTGGTGTCGGCGCACCCCAGCGTTCTGCCATCGATCGACGTAGATCTCGACATGGACAAGTTGTTGGATCATATCCCCATCGACACGTCAGGCGCCGAAAGTCTGGGCGCCGAGCGCGCAGTGCAGTATGCGTTGCATGGGCAGAGTGCAGATGTGAGCGATCCACAATCTGAAGGGGATAGCTCCCATTCGATGGAAAAGAACGAGGAATACGCCCGATGTCACACCTCGCCTGGTCCGTCGTCATCTCGATCCTCTCCCTGACCTGCGTGTCGGTCTCGCTCCTGACCGTGCGACGATAGTGGCAAGTCAGAAAGCCACCCTTGGTTCGGACGATGACTTCGAAGACGAAGAGAGCCCAAATCAAGGTGAATGCTCTTCGGCACAGCTGGTATCGAGCTGTCCCGACGCAATGCGCGCAGTGATAAACGCGCGAGAAATTACAGGTCTGACTCCCCGTCCGCTAACGAAGAAACCGAAGGGTGAGGATGACGACTTGAACGCCTCGCTCCCATTGCAGGGTTTTTACGGGCCAGACTTATCATTGCCCAGAACAAGCAGAGATAGACTACCAGAACTTGATGAGCTCGCAATGCAGGACGAAAGAGACGACCTAGCAAGGGGCATGGGCGTCGACGCCGTCAAGAGGGGCGCAAGGACGAGAGAACAACACGCGCCTACCCTAAGCAGCGAAAGGGGGCGCTCCATTAAGGCCCCCAGGGCCGGACGTTCCAGTTCCCGATGGTTTAATGCTTTTGACTCTCCGCGAATGTCATCGAGTAGAACCGCCGGCAGCTTCTCGATGCGGGGGGGCCACTGGAACGCCGGGCCAACGCGCCCCACTCGGGCGGAGAATCGGCACCGGGGAAAGCGCGCGAACAGGGGGTTCATGTTGCTAGACTCGAGGCCGAAAGCATGAAATCTGAGGCACTGCGAGCCCTTCGAGAACAAGAACAGAAGACCCAGGCAACCAGAGAAGAGGACCAGAAAAAGAATGGCCGATGCCTGGGACCGTCTGAAGGGGCGCGCAAGAGAACATATAAGATACAACATTCTTGTTACTCGGGCCGTAAGCGAGGAAAACAGAAGGTTGAGGTCTGACCGTGAGCAACGACGGATCCAAAAAGAGGTCGGTTCAACATTGGCACAGCTGGCGCATGTTGAGCCGCCCCCTCGCCCAATCGCTGCCCGTCCTATTAGGGCGCCCGGCGCTTCGCAAGCCCAAACGCGATCAGGCGCTCCGAATCAGACCCGTCGCATTTGCCCGCAACCTTCGACCGAAGTATGCAAGGGTTGTTTGAGGCACGCGTGCAATGACCACCTGGATATGGGCACCAAACGCTGCGGCGAATGCGCTTGGAGGAAAACGCTAGGATATCAGGGCGACTGCGAGGGGGCGGGGGAGCCCCGAGGCATACCTGATGCTCAGAGCGCAGGCAATGATCCTGATGGGAAGGCACCGAGACACTCGGCCTCGCCCAAGGATGTTGAAGCTGAGCGCCAGATGAGCAGTCTTGCCGATATTATGGGCATGCCAG